ATATATATAAATAGTAGTATATTTATTTCTATTAATTCATATATTTAATGGAATATACGTTATGTTAGGACCCTGTCCCCGTGTCCCCTGACTGTATCCCCATATGTCCCCTGTCCCCGTGTCCCTGACCCTGTCTCCGTGTCCCCATGTCCCCTGACCCTGTCCCCATTGTCCCCACGTGTCCTCTGACCCTGTCCCCGTGTCCCTGACCATGTCCCCATGTCCCGTGTCCGTACGTGTCCCTGACCATGTCCCCATCTCCCCGTGTCCCCGTGTCCCTCACCATGTCCCCGTGTCCCCACATGTCCCCTGACCCTGTCCCCGTGTCCCTGACCCCGTCTCCATGTCCCCATGTCCCCTGACCCTGTCCCCATTGTCCCCCCATGTCCCCTGACCCTGTCCCCGTGTCCCCACATGTCCCCTGACCGTGTCCCCATGTCCCCTGACCCTGTCCCCATTGTCCCCCCATGTCCCCTGACCCTGTCCCCATGTCCCTGACAGTGTCCCTCGGTCCCTCACCATGTCCCCATGTCCCCTGTCCCTGTCCATGTGTCCCCTGACCCTGTGTCCCCTGACCCTGTCCCCGTGTCCCCACATGTCCCCTGACGGTGTCCCCATGTCCTTGACCATGTCCCCATGTCCCTCACCATGTTCCATGTCCCTCACCATGTTCCATGTCCCCGTGTCCCTCACCATGTCCCCGTGTCCCTGACGGTGTCCCATGTCCCTCACCGTGTCCCCGTGTCCCTGACCATGTCCCGTGTCCCTCACCATGTCCCGTGTCCCCGTGTCCCTCACCATGTCCCGTGTCCCTCACCGTGTCCTGTGTCCCCGTGTCCCTCACCATGTCCCCGTGTCCCTCACCGTGTCCCCGTGTCCCTCACCATGTCCCCGTGTCCCTCACCATGCCCCATGTCCCATGTCCCTCACCATGTTCCATGTCCCCGTGTCCCTCACCGTGTCCCGTGTCCCATGTCCCTCACCATGTCCCCATGTCCCTCACCATGTTCCATGTCCCCGTGTCCCTCACCATGTCCCATGTCCCTCACCATGTCCCATGTCCCGTGTCCCTCACCGTGTCCCGTGTCCCTCACCATGCCCCATGTCCCATGTCCCTCACCATGTCCCGTGTCCCTCACCGTGTCCCGTGTCCCCAGCCGAGGTGCAGAGTGAGACCGAGCGCATTTTCGAGCTGGCCCGGACGCTGCAGTTGGTGGCCCTGGACGCCGACACCATCAACCACCCGGCCCAGCTGGCCAAGACCTCGCTGGCGCCCATCATCGTCTACATCAAGATCACCTCCCCCAAGGTGGGCACGGCCCGGGCGGTGCCAGCCCCTCCCTGCCACCCGGGCATGTCCCCGAGGTCACCCGGGTGTGTCCCCATGGCCACCCCGGCTGTCCCCATGGCCACCCCAGGTGTGTCCCCACGGTCACCCCAGGTGTGTCCCCACGGTCACCCTGCTGTCCCCACGGCCACCCCAGACATATCCCTGTGGCCACCCCACCTGTCCCCGTGGCCACCCCAGCTGTCCCCACGGCCACCTTGGCCATGTCCCCACGGCCACTCCGGTTGTGTCCCCACAGCCACCCCAGCCGTGTCCCCACGGTCACCCCAACTGTCCCCCTTGGCCACCCCGGCCGTGTCCCCATGGCCACCCCGGCTGTCCCCCTGCCACCCCGGCTGTCCCCTCCCGCGCAGGTGCTGCAGCGGCTGGTGAAGTCCCGGGGGAAGTCACAGGCCAAGCACCTCAACGTGCAGATGGTGGCCTCGGACAAGCTGGCACAGTGCCCGCCTGTGAGTGTGCCCCGTGCTGCCAGCCCGACCTGGAATCTGCCCAGCTTGTCCCCAATCTGTCCCGTTGTCCCTGCCCTGTCCCACTGTCCACCCCCCCCATCCCATTGTCCCCATCCTGTCCCATTGTCCCTGGCCTTGTCCCACTGTCCTTGCCCTGTCCCACTGGCCCTGACTTGTCCCACAGATCCCTCCCTCTCCCGTTGTCCCTGCCGTGTCCCATTGTCCCCTCCCTGTCCCATTGTCCCCATCCTGTCCCATTGTCCCCTCCCTGTCCCATTGTCCCCATCCTGTCCCATTGTCCCCT